ATGAGCTCTATCGAGTCCCGGATTAGTTTTTCAAATCCACAAAGCCTCAAAATGGCAGAAGCAGCGTTACTTGTTACTTGTTACTTGTTGCTTGTTACTTGCAGCAATGTGGAATATTTACATTTAGGACATTTACGTTTGATATATGTGATTTGAATATAGAGTATGTGAATATGGTGAACTGGCCCAGTATCGGTGATACTTGATACCAGTATCGGTATCGCCGCATCCCGACCAAAGAGAGACCGTGCAAATTGTTGGGACATAAAAACAATTTACATTTTGTCCCAAAGGTCTGTCTTTCGATGAAGATAAAACACTACAGAAACAGATTTCCACATGATAGCTCGTGCACTCACATAATGCTCTTCATTTGCGCTTTACCTTCAGGCCTTTGTTCATGGCCTCTGACAATGTTCATGTTCAAGTTTAAAACATTGTATATCTCTAGATGTTTATCAGAGCCTGCCCTGGTCAGATCTGTTTCACTCAGAGGTGTGGGGCTCTGATAGTAGGCAGACTTCTACCAGGAGCCAAAATGTGAGACACTGGCAGCTCTACTGCCCTCTTGTGGTGAGCAGAGGCTCCCCTGGAAAAGGCAGAGAGCTGCTCCTTTAAGAGGCTCAAAGAAATGATTCAGACTCAGAATAATGAGATCACTTCACAACAGAGCACAGATAGATGGCTATACAACAATTTAGTATCCATTAGATTACACATTTATAGAGTGTGTAAGTGAACCTAGTACAAAACATTATAAATGATGAACAATATGTCTTCAACCTTTGAATTATTTTTTTTAATGTTTTTTATTAGATCAGGGACACTGAACATAAACATATTGAAATAAGATTATGTTTAACGCATACCAGGTGAAGAAAAACAGAAAACCTCTCGCCTCTTAATTTATACTATTTGGGAATCTTTTGTGAGATTTTGTTTGAGTTATTAGAACACGGTTATTATAACGTAACGCTAAACTGTAGTTAAGTGTAGCTGGCTAAACACATTGGACTACTTTTTTATTAGACTGAAAGAAGGTGTTGAGGGTTGTATGGGACAATAAACACTTTGGCCTGTAGGGGTGTTCCAGGGCCTGGGGTTATAGGACCTGCTGTAGTCAGTCTCCAGGTGTAGCTCTTAGCGGCTAGTGGCTAACGGCTAACAGGTCGGTGTGAGTGGATTCCTGCAGAGACCCCTGACCCCTGCCCTTGTGTAAAAGCTTTAAAAGTGGAAAGTATTTAGGCCTGAGCCTGAGGACCACGCAAGGGCAGGAGTAGACCCTGAAATAAATGACTAGTTTTTTGGCTAAAGTGGGTCAGTGCTAGCTCTGAGATAACCCAGGCCAAGCCCCGGTGATCCAGGGACCGGCCTCCTGCTGGTGTCCAGAGTCAGGACCAAACATGGGGAGGCAGCACAACAAGCAATTACCACAACAGTAACCAGCCACCCAGAGGTCAGTCAGACTGGGACATACTCACATGTGAAAGCCAGATCCTGTAAGACTTCTGTAGCTAAACAGGGCAGGGGCTGGTTAGTACTGTGATGGGAGACCTCTGGGAACACCAGGTGCCACAGTGGGGTGGCTGTAAAGTACCAAACTCTTGATGTGTCCTTAGGCAAGACACTTCACCCACATTGCCTAGAATGAGTCTGGTGTGTGTGTGAGTGGTTGGTGGTGGTCGAAGGGGCCGATGGCACACACTGGTTGCCTCACTTCTGTAGGTGTATCCCAGGGCAGCTGTGGCTACAATAGAAGTGAAAGAATAATAACTAGTGAAGCGTCTTTGAGTGTCCAAAAAACACTAAAAACACTGATGCATTATTATTGTTTTCATTATTAACACAACCGGCCCCAGCTTGAGGCAGAAGAGACCATTTTTCAGTATTATTTTGTTGTTGTTGTTGACAGTGACAATTGTTGCTTGTACTTTTTGGCTTATATATTTATGTACGTGTCTGGTGCACACTGGGGACGTGTATTCCAATGTGGTTTTACTGCAAATGGCAAATACAGTAATATGAATCTGAATCAGAGACGTATCAACCAGCTCCACTCTGTCTTTATCTAAATAATAGAACTTTAGCATCTTGAAAGAAAGAGCTGAGTAAATACATGCCTCTGAGGTTGGTGTGATCCACGCTTCACGGCACCACCCACAGAGATGAGGACACCACCGTACCGTACAGCAGACACTAATACTGTACATCATTCAATAACACATTTTATTTAAACTATTACCACATTTTTGAGTTTCCCCCCCCGAGCTTTACAGCCTCCTGTCAGTCCGAGCTGGATCCGGCCTTGGACCCCCCATGTTCTGGAAAAACCTGGGCTTACATAAGAGGAGCATGCAGCATAAATATTTGTGTGTAGTGCAAATACACAAGGGAAACATTTGTGGAGTAAACACTGTGATTACAGGCGCCCGAGGAAGTGTCTGTTTATGTGATCTGAGAGAGAAGTACTTCTGCTGCTGCATGGCCCTGTTCTACTACTACTACTACTACTACTACTGCTACTACTACTACTACTACTACAGCTGAGGATGATAAGTACTTCAGCTTCTGTACAACCTTGTTCTACTACTACTACTACTACTACTACTACAGCTGAGGATGATAAGTACTTCAGCTTCTGTACAACCTTGTTCTACTACTACTACTACTACTGCTACTGTTACTACTACTACTACTACTACTACCACTATACTAGTATCACTACTACTACTGCTACTGTTACTGCTACTAACCACTACTATTCCATCACTACTACTGTTGCTAATACTACCCTAGCCTCGGGGGCCTATAGACCTCAGTGTTAACTAAAATGGCTCGCCCTCAGCTGACAGGGAACCCACAACTTACTTTTTGACCTCCTGCTGGTGCCCAGAACCAAACATGGGGGGCAGCATTTCAGTTTCATGCTAAAATCTGAAACAGGTTTCTTCACTGAGTAAAAGATTCACATCCAGGTTAAAAACAGTTCTGTTTTTCTGCAACAACTGAAGAATTATATCTACAGTACATTCTTTTTAATGTACTATGTTTAATGTGGCCATACTTGCATGCGAAAGCCTGATCCTGCCTGACATCTGAAGCAGTGTAGGACAGGGCCTGGTTAGTACTGTGATGGGAGACCTCTGTCACCAGGTGCCGCAGTGGGGCGGCTGTGGCTGTATAGTGCCAAACTGTGGTTATGTCCACAGGAAGACCCTTCACCCACATTGCCTAAAAGGAGTCAGGTGTATGTGAATGGATGCATCACTTCTGCTAATATTTCAGCCGTCATGATGCGAGCGTTTGCCTTTGAGCACCAGCCATTGAGCTGAAGGAGTTAGCTCCATGTAAACATGGACATGGCTTTATACATACAGTACACACATAGACGCAGACTTACAAAATAACACTTCCATTTGCAATCCTTTAAGGGCCTTTACATACAACGGAAGGAATTTTTTCCTCATCCAAATTGGGACAGGGTTATATGTACAAAGACAAATTACAAACTTCAAATGTCATTTTAGCTGTCACAGACTCCAACCATGAACATAACGAATCAATCAAATTGTATTTATAAAAAAAAGATACAAGTAAACCGTTTATCTAATGTTTGAATTAAATACATAAAACACAATCATGAATTATAAATACTAATCAAAAAAGGTGTGTAAGTAAACAATCTTTATTTATCTTTCACGGACCAGAGTCACAAAGCAGTTTACAATTGTTATTTTCTCTTTTTTTGGGCATTTGTCTCTCACTCCACACAGAGATGGGAGCAGGGTCGCTCCTACAGGAGGCACATGGCAGACCTATTGTACATATTTTTAGTGGTAGGGGAAACCGGAGTACCCGGAGGAAACCTACGCAGACACAGGGAGAACATGCAAACTCCACTCAGGAAGGCGCTGGTCTGACCGGGATTCGAACCCAGGACCTTCTTGCTGAGAGGCGAGAGTGCTATCCACTCAGCCACAGCCTCCGTACCTGCCTGCTCTTAACTCTTAAACACACAAACGATCTATTTGACCTCTCTTTGAAACATCTGCAAACATCTTACCAACTATTTGAAAACTAATGTTCAGTAAAGTTGTTAAAATTCTCTGCCAAAGGTTACAAAATTCAACAACGCAAACCTTTTCCGTTTTCAGGAAGTGATTCGGGCAATTTCCATCGGGATAAAAAAACAAGCCTCATTTTCAAACCACAACAAATGGAGCAATGTGATAAAATTCATCGTTTTCCTCAAAACCACCGTCACTAATCTCAGAATCAGAATCATTTCATGTTCACATTAATCTGTGTATGGCTTTTCAGACGAGATCAAAGGAGAGACAGCCCTCATTCTAACAGGATTCTAACAGGATTCTAACAGGATTCTAACAGGATTCTAATGGGATTCTAACAGGATTCTAACAGGATTCTAACAGGATTCTAACAGGATTCTAACAGGATTCTAATGGGATTCTAATGGGATTCTAACAGGATTCTAACAGGATTCTAACAGGATTCTAACAGGATTCTAACAGGATTCTAACAGGATATGGAGAATGACTTTGGCATGACTATACATTCATGGACCATGGCTAACTATGAGTGAATAAATCAACATAGAAGAATGGCTCAGCACAATTAATTCGATTGGACACACTTTTCATCTGCAAAGTAACTACCCATCAGAAAAAAGATATTTGAGAATAAAAGTTCTAAAAGAATTGAATGAAAAGTTCTCAAGTCAAGGCAGTAAAGTAAAAACAAGTCCACGTCTGTTTTTGATGAGGAACGATGGTGGAACCAGGAGAAAGGATGTATCACATGTCATTGACTCAAAGCCACAAAAGCAGAACCGTGACTTTTGCAGACCTTGTGGGCGGAGTCAGAGTCCCCTGAGCCCCTCCCCCTGCTCTCTAGTCTCTGGTGGGACCCCTCTCAGTCCATTCAGCTGTGAGTGAGCCGTGAGTCCGGACTAGAGCCCCGAGGTTCAGAGGAGCACAACCATGAGGCAGATCACAGTCCTGATGCTGGTCCAGGTCCTGGTCCTGGTCTACGGGGCCCGCTCTCCCTACCAGTCTGTCTTGCAACACAGCCGCATCCGGGGGAGACAGCAGGGGTGAGAGTCAAGTCACTGAGACCTGGTTTAGTCCTTCTCTAGACCTGCTTTAGTCCTGATTTAGACCTGCTTTAGACCTGATTTAGTCCTGCTTTAGACTTGTTTTAGTCCTGCTTTAGACCTGATTTAGTCCTGCTTTAGACTTGTTTTAGTCCTGCTTTAGACCTGCTTTAGACTAGCTTTTGACCTGTTTTAGTCCTGCCTTAGACTTGTTTTAGTCCTGCTTTAGACTTGTTTTAGTCCTTCTTTAGACCTGCTTTAGTCTTGCTTTGGACCTACTTTAGACCTGCTTAAAATCTGGAACAATCTTCCTGAAGATGTGAGACAGGCCTCCTCTCTGACAATGTTTAAATCTAGGTTAAAACAGTTCTGTTTAACTGTGCATACAACTGAGAGATTTTATGTTTTTATCTTTCTTTTTAATGTTCTGTGATTATTTATGATTTTAATGCTGTTTTGTCTTGTTCAGCACTTTGAGTTGCCTTGTGTATGAATTGTGCTATACAAGAAAAATTGGCTTGCCTGCTTTAGTCCTGCATTAGTCCTGCTTTAGACCTGTTTTAGTCCTGTTTTAGTCCTGTTTTAGTCCTGCTTTAGACCTGCTTTAGTCCTGTTTTAATGCTGCTTAGGACCTGTTTTAGTCCTGCTTTGGACCTGCTTTAGACAAGTTTTAGTCCTGCCTGTTATGTCCGGCGATATATACTTCAAGTTTTAATACTCGTACATTCTGCTGCACAACATGTGAACAGAGCAAAAATTTTAATCTCAATTAGTGATTGTTGTTTAAATAATTTTTCAAAAAGTCCCTGACCCAGACCCACATCCTGATCAGCATTTTGCAATTTTGAAGTTGACCCCAAAATAATACCCCATGATCAAACTGACCACTACTGAGAAAGAGGCACAGCATCAGCAGTGAAACTCAAACCTGTCTCTGCCTTCACACGCAAACCTGGACCCAGACTAGACCCTGATGTCTCTGCCTTCCACACTCAAACCTGGACCCGGACTAGACCCTGATGTCTCTGCCTTCACACTCAAACCTGGACCCGGACTAGACCCTGATGTCTCTGCCTTCACACTCAAACCTGGACCCGGACTAGACCCTGATGTCTCTGCCTTCACACTCAAACCTGGACCCAGACTAGACCCTGATGTCTCTGCCTTCCACACTCAAACCTGGACCCGGACTAGACCCTGATGTCTCTGCCTTCACACTCAAACCTGGAACCGGACTAGACCCTGATGTCTCTGCCTTCACACTCAAACCTGGACCCAGACTAGACCCTGATGTCTCTGCCTTCCACACTCAAACCTGGACCCGGACTAGACCCTGATGTCTCTGCCTTCACACTCAAACCTGGAACCGGACTAGACCGTGATGTCTCTGCCTTCACACTCAAACCTGGAACCAGACTAGACCCTGATGTCTCTGCCTTCCACACTCAAACCTGGACCCGGACTAGACCCTGATGTCTCTGCCTTCACACTCAAACCTGGAACCGGACTAGACCGTGATGTCTCTGCCTTCACACTCAAACCTGGAACCAGACTAGACCCTGATGTCTCTGCCTTCACACTCAAACCTGGACCCAGACTAGACCCTGATGTCTCTGCCTTCCACACTCAAACCTGGACCCGGACTAGACCCTGATGTCTCTGCCTTCACACTCAAACCTGGACCCGGACTAGACCCTGATGTCTCTGCCTTCACACTCAAACCTGGAACCGGACTAGACCCTGATGTCTCTGCCTTCACACTCAAACCTGGACCCGGACTAGACCCTGATGTCTCTGCCTTCCACACTCAAACCTGGACCCGGACTAGACCCTGATGTCTCTGCCTTCACACTCAAACCTGGAACCGGACTAGACCCTGATGTCTCTGCCTTCACACTCAAACCTGGACCCAGACTAGACCCTGATGTCTCTGCCTTCACACTCAAACCTGGAACCGGACTAGACCCTGATGTCTCTGCCTTCACACTCAAACCTGGACCCGGACTAGACCCTGATGTCTCTGCCTTCCACACTCAAACCTGGACCCGGACTAGACCCTGATGTCTCTGCCTTCACACTCAAACCTGGACCCAGACTAGACCCTGATGTCTCTGCCTTCACACTCAAACCTGGAGCCAGACTAGACCCTGATGTCTCTGCCTTCCACACTCAAACCTGGACCCGGACTAGACCCTGATGTCTCTGCCTTCACACTCAAACCTGGACCCGGACTAGACCCTCATGTCTCTGCCTTCCACACTTAAACTTGGACCCAGACTAGACCCTGACGTCTCTCCCTTCCACACTCAAACTTGGACCCAGACCAGACCCTGACCCAGACTTTTTGCCTCTGACTTGGTCATGAAATGGATGTACAACCAATATCTTTGGATCTTCAAAACTAGGGAGGCAGAAAAACAGTGTTCACCTGATTTTGATGAAAGCATTTACCTCAAATGAGAGATTATTTTTAAATCATGTTGAATCACTTCTTGTTAATTTCATTTCAAATGTGCTGTGAACTGAGCAAAAACTGTGTTAACTGCCTCAATGTGGACCCAGCTTTATCATTCAATGCATTCTTGATTTAAAGCATTGGAATGGTTTATGGTGGTGATTGCTGGACAAGGCAGTGGTGTCAAACCCATTTTGATCTGAAAGTTGTTTTTTTTAATTTACTTTTATACCAAGTCTTAAACAGAGCTTGTCTTTGGCCCTCCATTTAAAGTGATGTTTCTTTGCCTCCAGGCCAAACGTGTGTGCCATGCAGCAGATCAGGGGCACGGAGAAGAAGTACTTTACCAACTGCAAACAGTGGTACCACCGCAAGGTCTGCGGACAGCCCACGTGAGTACCCTGCAGAGCGCCCTCTGGCTGCCACACATGTCACTCCACAAGACATTTCTACTCTATCGATCTGCAAATGAAAAATTGAGTGTTTGTAACTCAAACTCTGGTGGCCGGAGAGTGGACCTTAAAGTGGTGGTGGTTGGTTGTCACGCTATGAGGAGGCGGGCTACCATTGTTGCATTCTGGCCTGCAGTTCTGAAACTCTATGGCAGGGTGTCCAAGCGTTTCACTTGGAGAGCTACTTTTTTGGGACAAAAGTGGCAGAGAGCTACTCATCTCAGACAGTCGACCGTGGTGTGCTACAATGGATTACGTAGATTTGATCTAGATTTGTTAACATTATTCAAAACAATGGAAAAAAGATATAGCAAATTAATTTCTTTTTTCATTGGCAAATCTTGTTTTAAGACCGTCAATATGTTCTCTAATAAATTCAGCCAATTTTTTTTAACCATCATAATCTATTAGGGCAAAAGTAGGCTTCATAAATGTATCAATTATTTGTGGAGCTACTTTAAAGAGGGTGGTGAGCGACTGGTAGCTCCCGAGTTGTAGGTCAGGTTGTGGGCGGCACGGTGGCTGAGTGGATAGCACTCTCGCCTCTCAGCAAGAAGGTCCTGGGTCGAATCCCGGTCAGACCAGGGCCTTTCTGAGTGGAGTTTGCATGTTCTCCCCGTGCGTAGGTTTCCTCCAGGTACTCCGGTTTCCCCTACCACTAAAAATATGTCCAAAAGTTCTGGCATGTGCCTCTTGTACTGGTGACCCCGCTCCCATCTCTGTGTGGAGTGAGAGACAAAATTAACAATTGTGAACTGCTTTGAGACTCAGATCTGCAGTGAAAAGGTGGTATATAAATAAAGATTACTACTACAAGGTTGGTGACCGAACGTGGCAAATTTCCACATGTAAAAAACCTTTGGAGCCCGGCTCTTAGGAAGTTCCAATGCTGCTGGAGGTGCCAGGTCTGTTTAGCCGCTGTGGTTTTATAAAGTTTGCCAAAACTGCTGCCATTTTGACGCTCACCACTACAGCAGTTCCAGCCACGCATCCAGCAGGGGGAGCTCATGAGCTCAACTCAACTTACATGCAGATTTAATAAAAATGCACATTTGCTTGGTTGTTTTGCTACTTCTAATTCATGTAAGAAGTTTAGAAGAGAACATGGCTACACAATATTCAACTAAGAAAACTGCTTTTTTAGATGTACTTAGAAGAACTCTCCTCCTCTCCCCCTCTCTTCATCTCTCTCCCTTTTGTCTTCCTCTTCTACTCTCCTCATCCCCCTCTCATCCTCTCACTCTTCTCTCCTTCTTCTGCTCTCTCCTCCAGATCTTCCACGCTGTTTGTCTTTCTCCTCTTGCTGTTACATAAGGCACATTCCTGTGAGTTGTCCAGCAGAGACAGGAAGCCCCTGTCACTCAAACTGCTCCTGTCCCACCACAAGATCCATCCAAGTCCCAGGGATCCACCCAGGGCCAGTGGATCTACCCATGTCCCAGCTATTCACCTAGAGGTCAAGGATCCACTCAGGGCAGTCCAAAAGCAATGGGACAAATCAGACCAGGACCAGCAGTCAGACGTACCACTCTTAAGTGTGGAAGCGTGAAGCTGGTCATTTCCTTTAGCAAGTACATGTGTGTGATGAGGTCAAACAGATTGTTGTCAATAGACGATACAGTACATCTAAAAAACAGTCTGCGGAGGTCTGTGCTCTATCCACGCACATATCAGGAACTTCAGCCACAAAACACAAGAAAGATTTGACATAGGCAGAAGATCGTGTGTGAAACCTAGTGATGGATCAAGGAGTTTATGAGAGCAACAAACTAGATGGGCAGAAACTTTCCTAATATGGATTAATGAGTTAGTTTGTCACATGCTAGACTTCAATATCAATTACATTTATTCTTGTATAGCCCTACATGCCAACAGCACTTGTCTTAGAGGACTTTACAAAGTCCTTGACGAATAACAGGTCAGAGAATCAAAAAGTTCAACACAAGAAAATGTAATAACGACAAACACATAGGAGCCATTGGTCCATAGGGAGCGGGATGACCACTGTCCATATATTTTAATAAATATCCATAAATGTTCTACCTGGATCATCACCACTGTCCTTAGACCCTCCTGCATCTGCAAGAAACGACTCAAAACAACAGTGGTATATTACTACGTAACCTCCCACTGACAAACAGGCAATAGATCCAGGAACCAGGCGGTAGAACGAGGACAGAGGCTCCTTAGCGAGGAGGGGTGGCTGCTGTAAGAGAGGCAGGCCCCCAGAAGTACAGGCATCTCCACAAACCTATCTCCTGTGGTTTTTATGGAAATGTTCCTTTGTCGTAAACCAAATCCATCATGGAATCACATGTTTCTAATTCAAGGTTCCACGGTATAGTTTTAACTCATCCTAATGGGTTCTTTATGGAATCAAGTTGCTTGTTCTCCACCATATTATGAGACATTCTCCAGTAGAGAAACAGAAAGACATATAGTATGCAGGCAATCTTATGGTTTTGGTTAAGTATACTCTGGTGTCCACTGCATCTGAACCATCCTGCACTTCCATAGAGCCTCTGTCAGGAGCAGTGGTCGCCCCAGTGCAAAAACTGAGGAGTAGGGGCCCATCTCCAGATGTTGGAGCTCCTGGATTACCGAAAAATATTACTACTATGGGTGTTATTGGATAAAAAGAGACACCGGAGCGCCCAGAGACAACTCCCCCAAGTACAGGGACAAAAATACAGCCCCCACACAGAAAGCCCCGGGCCACGGACATAAAATCTGCAGTCGTTTGGCCGTTATGTCTGCAGTATATCAGGCTCTGTAACGATGAAAAGATAATGGTTCAGGAGGCATAAAAGTATCTGAGGACATAGTTTGAAGCTGTCTCCTTCATGGCGGGGTTACGAGGTGTTTATAGGGCTGTCATTGACCTGCCCCCTCCCTCCCCCTGTGCCCTCAGTGCCCTGTCCCCCGGCTCCTGACCCCTGGATCACACAAAGCCTCTCTGTGCTGGACTTTCCACCGGCACTCACGCCATGAATGCACGTCTGTCTGACGCGCCAATCTTCACACTCAGGATTTTCATATGTTTTCTCAACAAATTCACTCTCGCATTTCAAGGAGCCACTTCCCCTGGCTGAGTGAAGTTAGCAGGGCACATGTGACAGCACGCCCACTTCAAAAGAACGCCACTCTATGCACTCGCCACGTCACACGCAGCGCACTGAGCGGGCTGTAACTCAAATGGGAGATTTAAGTTTTTGAATGAAATTTACCAACTTTCAAATGACAAATGTTGAATCTTCTCATTATTTGTGGCTCAACAAACTTCCATCCATCCATTTTTACTTACGTTTAACATTTTTATCTGACCATTTCCCATACATTTTCTTCCACTTTATCCGTTTCCGGGTTCTGGAGCAGCAGTCTGATTCCCTGACTTGTGGAGAGAGAGTGCTGACCATGGACTCAAGATTCAAGATTCAAGATTCATTTATTTGGCCATGTGCAGTTAAAAAACCACATTGGAATACGTTCGCAAGAAAGGCACTCCGTGTGCACCGACAGAACAAAAGCACGACACAATGCAATACAAAACACACATACACTGAACATAAAACAATAAAAAAACAGCTGACACTGTGGCACCGATCAACAAAACAATACAAGGGGTAAAAGCAGTTTAAAAGCAGGTAAAAGCAGAAATTAAAATGCTCTGTTTAGGCACCTAACAGCCTGTGGGAAGAAGCTGTTAGCATAGCGAGATGTCTTGCATCTCAGTGACCGATATCTTCTGCCAGAGGGAAGAAGCTGGAACATGGCTTTCCCAGGGTGGCCAGAAGAGTCATTGATGATTTTAAGAGCTTTGTTTAAAAGTCTGGATCTGTAAAGAACCTCCAGAACAGGAAGCTCACAGCCCACGGTCCTCTTTGCAGAGCGGAGCACCTTGTTTAAAGCTCTCTTTTCTTTATCTGTGATGTTTCCAAACCACACAGACACAGAACCAACAAGTAAACTCTCAATGGTGCAGCGATAAAAATTAAGCAGAATCTTAGAGTTAGTGGTAAATTCTCTAAGTTTCCGCAAAAAGAAGAGCCGCTGACGAGCTTTCTTAACAACCCGGTCAGTGTTTTTAACCCATTTCAGGTCGTTAGACAGAGTTAAACCCAGAAACTTGCACTCCTCTACGATCTGCACCTGGGAGTTGTCAATAACAACAGGAGTGTGAGAACTGCTATGACTGAAGTCAAAGACAAGTTCACATGTTTTTGCAGTGTTCAGCTGGAGATTGTTTACTTTACTCCACTGAAAAACATGTTCGATCTCTGCTCTATAAGAGGAATCATCATTGTCACTGATGAGACCGATGATGGTGGTGTCATCAGCATATTTGATGATCAAATTTGAGTCAGAGGAGGACACACAATCGTGAGTGTACAAAGTAAAAAGCAGAGGACTCAAAATACATCCCTGAGGAGAACCAGTGCTCACAGAAACAACATCAGAAAAACAGTCATTGATTTTTACACTCTGAGATCTGTCAGTTAAAAAGCTAAAAATCCATTTACACATGGCAACATTCAGACCAAGGGACATTAGTTTTTCAACCAATATGCTTGGGACAAGACAATTAAAAGCAGAGCTATAATCAATGAACAGCATTCTCGCGACAGATTTACTAGTGTCCAAATGAGTGTAGACAGAGTTCAGAGCAAAGGAGATGGCATCCTCCACACTCCTGTTCTGTCTGTAAGACAGTAGAAGAAGTGTTTGCAGAATGCACAAGAAGCTGATTTGAACAGCTGTCATATCGCCAAATTTGGAGCAACATTTCTTTCAATCAATCAATCATTTATTTGTAAGCACAGATTGTGTACAAGGAAATTCAAGGTGCCTCACAACAGAAATGTAAAAACACAGATCAAAATGCATAAAAAAGTTAAAGTGGACAAATTTACAATTATTTAATATTAAAGGTCATATATTAC